GCTTCAATAATTCATGGAGTCGATACGTCCGCTGTGCCGAACTCTAATTACGGCAAACAACACAATCGACTTATTCCCACCTCACGCGGTTATCGAACTCACCTCCTAGAATTATACCTAAGTATATTCATGATAACAAGGCCGTTAGTCCAGAGGTGACGCAACGAAATGGCGCTGGCATGGCGGTGGCCTCGCCGAATGTACGCGTATCATTGAGCGCTGTGGGGTCGCGACGCTCATAAATTCTATTTCCGCATTGTTTACTTTTCCTAATGTCAAAGAAACACAATATGCAGCACTACTTTGCATATAAATTAAGATATTTCATGTGTCATAGCGCCATGCTGACTGCGCTCCTGGAAGTTTTGGAAGAGTAACGGGATACACTCCGTTGACCGTTCAAATATAACTTTACATACGCGATTTTCAAGAACTCAGAGCGTCAGATATTTCAACCAAATATTATCTACATGCATAAAATTGAATTGCACTGTGTTGCAAGTATTCCGTTGGGAAAATGTTTCTGTGGAAAATAGAACAGAGTTTCTAGCGAATGTGGCAAATTGAGTTGGTGCTTATATTCCTTCGATTGCTCTTCGCGTATTTTATTCTAACGTTATCGTAATGAGCTATAAAAGTTTATTGCTCGTCGTAAATGCACATCCTCTGTTTGATTTTAAGGTTTCATGTGATAAAGCGAGAACAGTCTCGACGACGAATGCAACTCAGCGAGGGTTGGTGAAATATTTGCTGTAAAATTCTCACCACTGCGAAGTAAAATATATAAACCTAAGTCATAAACTTACTCATAAAATTCTTACTTGCAAAAAATTTATTTCAATTAAAAACTACACTTTTTATTTAATAAATATCTAATGTTGTTTTTTATTGTTATGATTTATTGGTAATAAAAGCTAAGAAAACCTAGTGATACTTCACTCGGATCCTCTTTTTTTATAAATATGTGTGTAGAATATATAGACTGTATGTATGTAAAACTGTGATGTTTATCGCATCGTTTGGTTTGTGATCATATTCGGTATGATGACAAACCAATAAGCAAGCAATGTTCAAAACGAATATTTACTCAATTTGGCAGTCAAATTCAAAAATTTCCAATGACACTGATAATGCTATCAATATTACACTGTGCCATAATATTTTTTCATTACAAAATAATCTTGCTTAGCTTTCATAACCAATTATACAATTGTGACTATAAGCTTCGTAACGTAACGTAAATGATCATAAGCTTCGAAACATGTGTTATTTTAACTTTTTACATTGTCTTATACTCGTACAAATCTCATTACTATTGCTGTCCTCAATGAAATAGAAACTATAATTATCTAATAAGCGCAATTTCGATTAGGCTACAACTTGGTCATTTGAGAGTCAATAGAAAGCTCGACATTGGGCCGGTATCGAAGTGGGTTGTTGCAGGCAGGCGGCAAGTAGGTGAGCGTGTCGAGGTCGTGACGTCACGCGCTTTCTCTGCGCCCGCGCTCGTTGTGCAACGCCAGCGCTCGGTGCACGATGCGTACGCGCAGCTCTCAAGCTTGGAACTATTTTATATTATTTATATAAAGTTCTTTTTATTTATTGGAGTTTTTATATTTATTTACTATGAATTTATAATTTATTTGCGGTGAAAAAATATGGTAAAAAAGTTTTAAAACGAAAATATCTTTTCTGATTTTTTTACAAATTTATTCTCAGGAGAGACTCTCTCCCGTGGCCATGATTGATGCAAATCATTCGAAACGCCGGGAACCAACAGTCTGAATGAATCCGGAAAATAACTACATATGTGTTTTGTTACTGTCAATTTTTTCGTAAATGTAAGAAAGTTGTATGGGTAATGGTTAAAATTTTTAAATTTAAAATCCAGGATAATATACTTTTGAGTTGCTCTGACTTTATGATATAATTTTTAAGTGTAATTTTAAATCTGTGGACTTGTCATAGAACTTATAAACATGGTTAGGTCAACTATTACGAAGTACGAACAGCAATAGAAGTGCACAATCACTAACAAATAAGCTAAACCTCATTTCCACATTGACAAAAAGGTTACCTTCAAATTTGTACATGTAGTATATTTTATTTTAATGTTTTGTCGTAAAAAAATTTAAGCAACACGCTTTATTGTTACACATAAATATGCAACTCGTTATTTCTGGCGATAAAAGCTTCTATAAATAACTCTTCCAAATATTAAAAAAAAAACTCAATCGCAACTTTATGAAATAACAAACCATTTTCTCTCGCCTCACTCAGGCACGTCCCTGGGTGAGTAACAGTATTATTAAATTTCATTCAAGCCCGTTTAGCCGTATTAGCGCAAGGGAGAAACAAACATACATACACACATATATTTTGCATTTATAATAATAGCCCAAATAATAGTAACCTAATTAATAATTATAGAAGTGTGATTTTTAAGGTGGTGGTTATATTATATCCATTGAATGTTTTTATCATATGATTGAAAAATCGGGTTTAATCGAATAAATCAATAATAATATTAATTTATTGACATTGTAATAATGATTAAATGTAAAATTGCTGAACAAAGGTAAGTCTTGATTAACACTTACAATACGGTTCATTAAAATACAATGTAAAAAAGTGTCTGGTTGAGACGGCTGTAAACAGCAATTTTCCGGTGATAATTATTACCTTTTAATTATTTTAATTAACGACTCGTTACAATATAAGTAATTATTTTTTATATATTCATAAAAAAAATTACCTTATGAAATCGCACAATATGACAATCTACAATCGCTATCGCTAATAGAAAACTTAAGAATGTATGGAAAATGGAAGTGACATATCTATAAGCTATAGTATTTATTATGTCACGTCAGGATCAGAATAATAATTATAATTAATAAGTCGTTCTCATATGTTTGTAATTTCTTCTAATTATTTTTATTTATTATAGAAATGACCTTGGCTAAAACCAAGGTATCGTCATGATGCCTTATGATTATTCGTAAATCTCATTATTAGTACTGAGCGTTATAACTTATATTAACTATATATGTATATAGTTATAAGTACCTACCTACAAACTTTTTCGTCATATTCACTCTATTTTTATATAAGTTTTTTTATATAGTATCGTTCGGGTCCCTTTTTTTTTAACGTTGGGAAATGCATTTACGCACGAAGTGTGGGACTCACCGGCGAAGCCAGTACTCTAACCACCAGTACCACTAAAACCCAACAAAACCTTCTCCCGTCTTAATGGGGCGTCGCAGGATCGCTTACGCATTCAACTACGACGCCCCGACGGCAGGTCTGCCGAAGCAGACCACCACAACCATGGGGTTGCTCCAAGGTCCACTCTGCTATCAGAGAAGTACCAGGAACAACCCACATGGAACACCGCCCACCGAAGAGAGCCACTTCCCACCGCCCACCGAAGTGGGCCACCTCCCTGTGCGTTTCTTGGCTTCGCGCCCGGTTGGGTTGCCGGGCACTACTGAGCCCCCCCACCACGACAAGGTGAACGCACGTTGGGGGGGACGTTCGGGTCCCTAGGTCGTCCCTAGGTACGTTGTACCTTAGTAGAAAGACTTTGCTATTGCAGATTTTCTGTAGGCTTATTAAGACCTACAATTTTCTAGTACATTGTTTTGATGTATCTCTTAAGGTTTAGCCAACGTTAGACATGTTAATTTCTAAAAACACTCGATAGAACTATTTATTGTAATTTCCCGTGGAGATGAAAAATTTTCCTGTAGAAAAAAGGTGTCCTAAATGTTGACCCGAGAGTAATAACTTATAACTACACATTTAGTTAAAATTGGTTCAGTAAAAGTTACTGTTTTATTATATGTATAGATTTACGTGTCCTTTAAAAAAAGTGCTTGGTGCATTTAAAGTTTTTCAACCTTGAGTTCGGAGCATGGGTTTGACTGCTTCGTTATCACGATCAGATGCAGACGTGTTAACCTACTTCGTGACAAAGAGCTCTTTAATTTTTTTTTATATTTGTTTACAAAAAAATGGTCCAAGGCTTGTTTATGCGTGAGCAATGACATGGAAAAATCGAGAATCTAGTTTATAAATGTTTTTCAATGTCAGAATGTTAATAAAACTTCCAAATATTATGTGACTATGGTGAATGTTTTAGATAATTTTTGCCAACTAATTTTATGTTTTGACTTTAAATGAACACAATTTAGGTTGTGGTGAACGGATTGTTTAAGACCCATTAGTCTTAAAATGATAGGTACAACCAGTAATATGCAGAATTAGGCGTAGTCAGAACAGGTCATATATAAAAATTTAATAAATTTATTAAACCTACTATAGAAGCACATAATATAGAGACATAAGAAATATATAACTTTAGAAGCAGCTCACGATCTTATAATAAAACAATAAGGCAAATATATTGAGAAACGCAGTATGTTGTTATTTGCCCGTAAGGAATATGTCACAACTCAAAAACCAAGTATACTTCTTTAATTTACTTTCTACTAATTACCTACATTTAATGATTAGTTGGTATTTGTAAAGTCAATAAATATGTAGGTTTTATATTATAATTAACTTATTGTAAGATTTCTGACAAGATTAAAATCGGTTTTTTACGAGTCACAAAATTCGCTAACCTTGCCTTGACGAGGTAAAGTTTAATTAACACGAGTACGTGGTCCAACGTCCTTCAGGGTTATCTTCTAATCAACCTTCAACTCCATCTGCCTTTTAATCTTAAACTCTAAACCAAATTACTGATACTTAATCACATTTCTTTATAAATAGCATATATATATTAAATATACGTGGCTAAAATATTTTTAACTGTAAAATAGATTTCTCTTATAACTTTATTGGATTGTGCTTTCATGAAATGTATCTAATATGTCAATTTTAATTAAGCTCAATTAATTTATCTTACAGTATATTTTTATTTATAGTTATATGCATAAAATAATACTATTTTTATATGCATATCTATATAAAATCATTTGAATTTGCAGAAGTGTGGAGCGCGGGCGGCGGGGGCGGCGCGACAGCATGCGGTAGCAGCGGCATGGACCTGAAACACGAGGTGGCGTACCGGGGGATCCCCAGCCAGGTGAAGGCAGAGCCGGGAGTGAGTCACAACGGTATCCCGAACGGGCATAGAGACTGGATGGCGGGGGGCGGCTCTCCGTCGCCGGCGCAGGCGCAGCCGAATGGCTACTCGTCACCACTGTCCTCGGGCAGCTACGGACCGTATAGCCCCAATGGAAAAATAGGTAAAATTCGTAAATTTTAAATTCAATACACAATATTTACAAAAGTAACTTTGCTTGGAATAAAGGTTCTACAATTCAGAATTTAAAAAAAAGAAAAAATATTTTTTTTTAAATTTTAACCTTAACATTTTAAGACTATGTGTAAAATGGCTATTTAAATCCGTGAAGCATTTCCCAAGTGTTACGTGTTTAAAAGATCGATAAGAAAAAGTTTAAAATCCTAAGCATACCCTATACCTATAATATCTGTTAAACACAAAGACCTTGTTCAATTTTTGTACTATAAGTAGGTACATGTTTTGGTTTTGATTGAGAGGTAATTTCACATTCCTTCATGAACTACGTGTACAATGTACAAGTATTAACGTTTCGTCCTCTAAATGCTCTTTCGCGTCTTTCAATCAACGTCATCATTATTTTCATTAAAATTTTAAAATAAACACATTTTGTGATATAAGTAAATTATAACATGTGTTCTATTTTAAAAATTCAACGGCTATACATAAGATACAAATATATTCCATATACTCACTCTCACTTCGCTCGGGTTCCCCTCTAGAAAAATAAAAACAAATCTATCCCTCGGGAACCGTATATTTTTCCGGGATAAAAAGTAGCCTATGTGTTATTCCAGACTATAAGCTATCTCTGTGGCAAATTTTATCCAGATCCGTTCAGCCGCTCTTGCGTGAAAGACTAACAAACATCCATACAATTACATACTCAAAAACTACTTTACATTTTTAATATTTATACAGATAATAAAAAATAGTTTTTAAATTTTTAGTCACTAACACAGTATGATTAACATATCTTTTATTCACTATTTCCCAATATTTCGGCATTGTTACAAATATCATGGTCACAGGTGTTCCCATATTTTATAGTACATATATATAAATATGTTGGGACATTAACACACAGCACCATCTCGTTCCATGGTGAGCTACGAGACTTGTGTTATGGATACCAGATAGTTGATACACTACACATATATAAACTTTAAATACATACATATTATAAATATAAACACCCATGACTGGAATACAAACATTCGTGCTCATCACACAATGAATGCCCCCAGCGGGACTCGATCCCGCGACCGCTGGCACATCAAGTAGGGTCACTACAAACAGAGCCAAACGAGTCGTCATATATTTTCAATACGTTAATTCAGACAAGTTTCACTTTATCAACCGACTTCAAAAAGGAGGAGGTTCTCAATTCGACTGTATTTTTTTTTGTTTTTTTTTTTTTATGTTTGTTACCTCAGAACTTCGTCATTTATTAACCGATTTGGACAATTTTTGTTTTGTTTGAAAGGGTATACTTCCAGATTGGTCCCATTTAAATTTCAAAAAAAAATACCACCCCTAAGGGTGGAAAAATAGCTAATAATGAATTTAACCTACTTCTAATTGTCATATTGACTTGAAACTTTGCAAGTGTTTCTATTTCCGTCGATAGTACAGTGGTTCGGTATTGTTGACCTGATCTGATGGTAAGGCCAGAAGGTAGATAGGTGGAACTCTTCAACGACTAATAGTAGATACTTTGAGTTTGGGCTTATTTTGTTTGGTTTGACAAGCCTAACACTTTAGAATTCTTACTTTGCTACTACTGTCTACACTAAAAAGGGAAAAATAAAAACTTTTTAACAAAAAAATAAAAACCGACTTCAAACAAAAGCACTAAAAAGTAAAAAATAACTGATTGGTAGTTTTCATTTACTATACATACCTAATCAAATATTTTCGAAGTCGGTGTGCTTTGCTTTGTATGGGTTGGCACCGATTTCGAAAATATTTGATTAAGTATGTATTTAATAGGTAGGCTTTAATTACTTAGCCAAAGCACACCGACTTCGAAAATATTTGATTAGGTATGTATAGTAAATGAAAACTACCAATCAGTTATTTTTTACTTCTTAGTGCTTTTGTTTGAAGTCGGTTTTTATTTTTTTGTTAAAAAGTTTTTTTATAATTATCTAACGTATATTAAGAAATTAAATATTATTTTCAAGTTAATTAAATATTATTTTATAATTATCCAACGTATATCAAGAATGTCAAAAAATACTATCTGAACATGTCAACTATACTATTATGAGCAATTCTTGTAAAAAAAAATCAGTGTATTTTGGAAATGGCTCTAACGATTTGGATCAAATGTTGTATTTAGATAAGGTTGTGCTTTTTAAGTTTTTAGTTTATCTATATAGATAGATGCCTTTTCTGAAAAAAAAAACAATTTTACTATCTTTTCCGAAAAAAAACCATTTCACGAAAACAGAAACGCCCAGGTATTTTATTTATTATATATTACATTTAAAAATCGTCATAAAGTAGATAATATTAGCAAGAATTTAACAAATACACATCAGTCAAAGATTAATTTGTATTGTGTCGATTCAAGAATCCGGTAACCTATTTCGTTAATATTATTTAGAAAACCTATTAAGACACTATCCCCAAATATGTATAGATGAGACATATATATCTCCTTTTGTCTAAATGAGTAGTTATATGTAGATTGTACTCTGTATGATATTATATATTTTTATAATTATTCAAATGTTAAGAGCTTGTAATTATACACAAAATAGAAGCAAGAAAAATCTTAAATCATAATTCCATTTAAATAAGAGTGCATTGAACTTTAAAATTCATTAAAGCAAATGGACACGCAAGATGGCGATTAATTACATAAGCAATTCTAGTATTATAAATTAAAATAACCCTTTGCCTTCAGAATTGTTTAGAAAAATAATCACGTATATGTGAAAATTTATGTGAGACTTTATAACTAAAATTACTTAGCTTCCATTTTGTTTCTTATTTTATATGCTAGTGTTTTAAGTTTTTTTATTACACTAGCGACTCACCCTCGCTCCGCTTGGGTTCGTCCCTACTTACGTTTTAACGTTTAGTATAGATTTCTCAGAAATTAGATATTTTCCCAAGGTAAAAAGTATCCTATATGTTGACTCGGATAACCAGCTATCATCATATCAAAATTCATCAAAATCCCTCCAGTAGTTTTTCCGGGATGCGGTAACAGACGGGCAGACTAAAATTCTAAAAACTATAGATTCGGCCTGTGTATCGATAATAATGTCTATTTCAATAAGATTTTCCAAAAAATATTTAATGTACAGATTCGGCTTAGTTAGGTACAATTTTATTATATATATATAGATATAAATAGCTCTCATATATTCTAAACTGTGCTCATATTGGAAGGGTTATTTATTATATTTAAATTTAAAATATCATGAAATAACATTATCGTATTCTTAAAATTATGAGAGCTTTTAAAATATTTTCCGTTTCGCGAGTCGTTTTGGCAGCTTCTAACCGACATAAGTATGTCCTAATGACACGACACAATTTTCTAGCAGTGGGGAGCTGAGATGGGCCACATATTGCTAACAAAGAGTTTCCTAAGAGCATAACCTCATTCACGACCAGCGGGTGTTGAGGATATATTACCAACCAAGGTAACGCCAAAGTGCATAGTATGTGTATATCTTAATCTATATCGATTTGAGTGAGTAGTGTAGTGTAGGAAATGAACGCAAGCTGATTTATTTAAATTATCTATTTAATTTAATTAAAAAATAAATAATATAACACAACATTTAAAAGAGCAAGTATTTTCTGTCCGGCTCCATTTTGTAGTGGATATGCAATAGGTATACATATGTATTATTCCTAGCCATTGAGAAACCTTGATAAACTAACATAAAACTAAAAATATATTTTCTTTTTAATTTAAATTGATTATTCGAATGTGAATAAAGATATTACATCGTTTATAAATGTACCGAATTTTATTTTATTTGGAACGGATAAAGGCCACCCAAATCCTAACACCGCGACATAAATTCTGTAAAATAAACACAGTTGAATCTCTTAGTAGTATAGTGTTTTAATTGCCACATAACTAAATTAGTATGAGAATTATTTACTAGATACTTTACACAACTACGCTTAATGATAGTTCCCGAGGTTACCCTTAGGTAATATAAAATAAAAAAAAAAACAAATAAACAGCTAAGTATTTATTTGTCCTTGCAATAATACATGTATTGTTAAAGAATGCTTCTACGAGTATTATTTTAAAAAATAAACTTTGGTATCCACATTTAAAAAACATTAAGTAAAAAAAGATCCTATAAATGATGTTCAACTATAATTATAATTAATTTCGCTGTCAATAAAAAAGCAAAAGTTATAAAATATTTCTCTTTTATCAAAAATTGATAATAATCGAGTACAAAAATTATTGAATTAATTTAACGATATTTTATTTTTATTTGTCGTATTCGGGTAGAGCTCCTATAAAATTACCGGTCAAAATTTATCGCATGCAGTCACGCTATACACTCTTTATGCTGCATATATTCGTTTTCGAAACGATTCGATTTTTTTAACGATAAAATGTAATTTTCATATTATTTTTACGTTGTTATAGTAAAACTGGTTTATGATAAACTATTTTATCATTATAATTATAATGCTAATAAAATTTAAATTCAATTGTATTCAGCCCTTTTTAACGTCCCACTGCTGGGCGCGGGACTCCCTTCAATACGAGGGGGATCAGGCCATAGTCCACCACGCTGGCCAAGTGCGGGTTGGCGGACTTCACATGTCTTTCGAAAACTTGCTAGGTTTTCTCAGACATGCAGATTTTCTCACGATGTTTTCTTTCACCGTAAAGCAAGTAGTAATCAAGTTAGAAATGATTAACACATGAAAACATCAGAGGTGCGAGACCCGGGATTTGAACCCGCTTCACTCAGTTTCCCAAGCGAGCGCGTTACCACTGGGCTACCACTGCCTTAAAATCTACACTTTATTATAATATTATATTATATAATAATATATAAATAACATTACAATAAAGCACTACGTACATATTTTGATTCGAAGTAGGTAGGTATTCATCTAACAACACGCTGTATGATTACTTATTTGAAAGCCAAATCGTGAAGCCTTTAATTACTAAATAA